CTTTTCTTCCGTCCCTTGCCCATGTTCGACCTGGATCGAGAAGCAGAAATCAGACCATCAACGTACGAAAGAAGAGAATTATATAGGTGTCCAAAACTTTGAAGAGCATACGAGGATGATGAGACTTGGGCAAATGAAAAGAGAAGACAACTGACCTTCAAAAACCAGGATCTTTGCGTTACGAGATGCAGAGGGCTATCAATTCAACTCAGAAACGGGGGCAATCGTGGTGATCTTATACCTTTCACTTGTTACATTTAGCTACATGTAAACAAGCAATAGCTGTTGTCAAAACGTGACAACCTCGAGTGTTGGCATCAGCGTAGAACGATGAGTGCCTTTCAGTCTGGCGAATCATCAAGTCCCTTTCTGGAATTTCTTCTTCTCTGAGGGGAAGATGATCTGTTGCCGGCTGACAAAATTTTGATTGCTGACTTCGATACACGATGAGAAATACGTGGTAACTGTTATAAGAACAAGGCAGAATATAGTTCAGAACAGATCAATGATGCTGGTTGCACCTGGAACAACACATGTGTGCCTATAAACATTTGATGACACATACAATCAAGAGGGATTATACTCAGACTTGTAAAAGGGTCTTTTGTAGCAACTCGCGGGATGCAATAGCTAGATAATAATCGTCTTTAAGGCAAGTATATGGGGTAACTATATATGGAATCGAGTGACAGTTGTTCAAATGGACAAACAAAAGGAAAGAGTTAGGAAAGAGAAGAGTGATACGGCCAAAACACAGCATCACTGTTGCTATCACAGATACGTCATCAGCATGATGGAACTTAAGAATGACATTGTTGTATTGGGTGTGCTATTACTTCTAAGGGAATCATAGATTGATTATACATAGAGGTTGGCTTCAAACAAAAGGATAAAATGTAGTTGTAGTGCATGTTGTTTCCATATCACGTGCTCATAAACCTTCAAACTACAGCTACACAATTGTAACCATTTTCTAATCTGAGACAGAACTGCCAGAATCTTCCCCATCTTCAACCAAAAGCAGGCCAGTAATGACTTTGCCGTGCTCATCGATGTCATCACGAGCTGACTGCAATTCGGTCTCTAGTCTTTCAACGTGCGTCTCTAAAAAGTCTAAACGTGTCTGAGTAGTGACCATGATTTGTTTCATGTCTTCGAAATATGCCACACGCTCTTCAAGGGCAGCAACTGTTGTATATCAAAAAAATCATAAAGTTTGGTTATTTTCCACTCGTATTGATTACGCTTAGGATAAGTTGGAATTAGTATGAGAATTACCTTGTTCTTCTTTACTTCTTTGGATTTGAAAGTAGTCTGTTCCCGAAAGTACTGGTAGCTCTGAAGTCGGCTTAATTGAGGGTTTGAAAGGAATTGGATCGATGTTCCTTCCCAATACTAAAAGTGTGGATGATCCAGCATGATTAGGCATCGCCCATGGGAGCAAACAAGAAGAAATATTGTTAGACGTACCGGGCTTTTCACTTTCGAATATATCTAACTCGGGAAATTCCATCAAGTCCATTTCATAGTGATGAGTACTTGGAGTAGCTGGTTTGCCCTCTTCTGACCCAAGAGGAATTAATTGTTCTGCCAAATCCATGGTCTTATCTTCTACACAATTACTTAACGTGTTCAAAGCAGGAAGAACCAGAGGCTCCTGAAGCGCACTTAACTCTTTGATATGTTCGCGCCGATCCTTTATCTCTAGCAGAGAGGTAGATTCCACTTCTGGAGTTGATTTTGAAACGCCTCTACCTGTAGACTTTGGTAGACTGGTACTGGTCGGGCGGTCTGGAATTTGCTGTTGGATTGACTGTAGATAGAACAGGGTTTCAGGATTCACATTACGTGGTATGATTAAGGTTGTGAAAGTGATTCAAGATGATGATGAAAGTACTCATGTGCAAGCTCGTAGGAACTCACCTTCTTCTTTTTTTTTGTCATCATGGTAGACCCACCGTGATCATCAGAAGACACTCGCTTTGCTTTTCGAGCAGGCCCCGTATCCGCAGGATTCGATGTGACTTCAGGTACGAGGTAACATGTGGAGAATGGCGGATCGAAAGAAACATGTTTTCCTTTACGAGGAGGAGGAGTACTTGTAGCGATTGATGTCAAGTCTTGTGGACTCCGACCACTCGTGGAAGGTGAAGGCATACAGTCTGGCAATATCAAATTAAACCTTGTTTTAAGCTTTTTCTCCTATCATCAGGGTGTCATAGACGTAAAGAGAAATGATGACGCACTATGAACCTCCATGCTCCCAAGCACATTTGATTGATCACTTGATTCCTGTTGTTGGCCCTGCAAATCATTGGAGTCCAGGGCTGGATCGTCGCTATCAGGGTTTGGAAAGACTGGTTAAGAAAACAATCCAAATGTTGAAATCTAATAGAATCAGATGCTGTTTTTGAGAGACAGATGAAACAAACAATGCGGCTGCGCCTTCCGCACTCTGGAGGCAAGCTGTGCTCGATTTAGTTTGGAGTGAAGGGTAGTTGTCTTGTCATGTTTGTAAAGCCACTGAGCCATGTCGTGCTTGCTAACACTTGGGTTGCTGGGGTCCAGAACAGTAGACATATTAGATAAATGCGCAGCGCGGTGACACAAGGAGTTGCTTGAAGGTGGCTTTATATAGACAGTCCCATAAGGAGGATGATCAAAAGTGTGAGTGTGATGATCAAGCCGAGCGGCATAAAGACATTCCACTTCATGAGCCTGCCTCGCGGTTTCAATGCTGACTTAAATTCTACATTATAAGTAGATGAACAATATGTCAATATACCAAAGCTTGCTAATTAATCGGACATTCATTTGCTTGTAAGCAGCATAGTCAATACACATATACGTAAACCAATTCGATTTTCGATCTCTTGAGGCATGATGCATAAGCCATGTTTTACTTCTGAATTACAGATAGGGAGAAAAGATTTGAACACGTAGATTATTTATCTTGTAAAGCTTCTTGTGGGAAGCGTAGCCACAAGGATGAATGCAGAATATTGGAAAGAATGTTGATCATGTATTAGATGATAGTGCGCAATAAAGAAGAAAAGAACATAAACGAAGCAAAGAATCGTGATGATTGAATCAAAATTGATACACGAAGTCAAGTGATCAATATTCTAGAAAGGAATACTGAGGCTACAATTTAAATAACTCAGAAGTAAAATCAACAAATGACAGGATTACACACAAACTGCATTCAAAAAAGGTTATAATCATGAGATAGGTGCTCTTGATACGTGATGAATTATCATTACTTCTGAGCAGCAGGAAAACAGAATATGTAGATGACACATAGTTTTCTATGTCAGTCAGAATTTTCTAAACCGTACGGAAAAGATGCACTTTGGTGTAGTGTAAGAGAATTGAATTCGCTTTCCATTGCTTTAATCCAATTTTCTCGTTTGTTACCTTTCATTAGGGACTGGGCGAAGCTCTGCAAAATTGCAATTCAACCGTAGTTGAAAGCGAGTTGCAAACAGCTAAGCCACTGTTCAATCAATATGAAATTTCCTTATTTTTTTTAGTAAGCTTTATGGCACTAAAAAAAATAGGGTGGCGCACAGGCATGACCCTCCCTAAGACAAGCTGTCTATTCAAAATTTCCCCCCCACCTCAGCCAAAAGCCTATGGCAGAACGCTTCTGGATAGCCTGATATACCTTTCACAGGTTGCTCTTGCTCTGGTTTTGGTGAAATCATCTGACAGTCGGGTCTCTTGGGCTTGTAGGAGTAATCCTGACACCTCCTGTTTGCATAAATCGCTTTGGTCGACTTCCAGGGGATTCATGCGCTTATTGAGGTGGCTAAATCCTCTGTTGGTCAAAACCTCGCCCAGTCCCTATTGCCTCAGAGTATGATGGGCAATCCGCACTTCTTTTTGCAGCATATATTGTGAGGTTTCCATAGCGGAGAGGAGGTTTTTGATCACGTGCAGGATATTGAGAGGTAGGATGAGGAATGATTTTTGGTGTTGGTTTGTTTGGAACTGGTGGTTGAGGATTGTTGAGAGGAGTTGTTATCTGGCTGTTGATTTCGTTTTGGTGCTCTGATGTTTTGTCTGAATTTTTGTCAGTGATGTTTGTGTCAGTTGATTTTCCTTCCTTTTCTTGTTCTTGTTCTTTTTCTTTTTCTGTTTCTTTGTTGTTTGATGTTGTATTGATGTTTTGATTCTTTGGTCTTTTTATTTTAATGATCAATTTGTTGTTTACTGCTTTTTGTTTTTGTTTTTCTTGTTCTTTGATTCTTTCTAATTCTTTTGATTTTTGTACTTCTTTTTGATTTTGTATTTCTTCTTCTTTCTCTTTTTCTAATACAAGTTTTAATTCTTTTTCATGCATGATTTGTTTTTGTTTTGCTTGCTCTAATTTGAATTCAAGATCTTTTTGTTGTTTGATCTGTTTTTGTCTTTCTTTCTCTGAGCTTAGTTCTAATTCTTTTTGATATTTGATTTGTTTTGATTTTTCTACTTCTTTTAGTTTTGCTATTTCTATTTGTTTTTGCTTTTCTTTTTCTTTTTCTTGTTCTAATTTTGTTTGTAATTCTTTTTGATGTTCTATCTGTCTTTGTTTTTCTAAATCCAGTGCTTTTTGTTTTTGTTTTTCAATTTCAATCTCTTGTTCTTTTTGTATTCTTTCTTTGTTTTGTTTTTGTCTTTCATTTTCAGCTTCTTTTTCTGATATTGTTTTGGATGCTTCTGAATGTGATATTGGATCTTTAGGAGCATGTATTGATTTTGATAGCGGAATGAGTACTTTGGGAGTGTATTCTATTATGTTTTCACAGTTGGATGGCGGAATTGTTGGGTAATCTGATTCGGAGAATTCGGAGAAATTTGGTGATGTTGGTGTTAGGTGTACAGGGGATAGAAATGGGGAAGAGTTGATAGATACATGGTCATTTTCGAGATTTATGTGCTGTATAGGTGTTTTGTTGGTGTTTCGTGGTATATTTGGAAAAGATAGGCTTGATACAGGCGGAAAGGATGGACTGAAGGAAAGAGAGGTGTGGATGAGATGGAGGGGATATTGTTGATAGTTGAGGAAATCATTTCTTCATTTTTTGATGTGGATACAGCTTCATCATCTTGAGGTTGATCTTCATTTCTTTCCAAGATTATTTGGTGGTCAAGAGGTGGACTCAGAGGGAAATTAAATGTGTTAGTATCTTTATCATCAGTAGTGTTATTGATTTTGTTTTTGAATGGAAATAACCGCTCATTGAATATTACATTACGTGATACAATTATTTTCTTCTTTTTAATGTCCCATAGCCTATATGCTCTTGCTCCTTTTTCATATCCTACATGGAGACATAGACAGGAACATGCAGATAATTTGTTGTATTCAGAGGACTTTAGGAGAGGATACGCAGCACATCCAATTGCTCGAAGGAAATTGTTGTTGACTTTGTGTGCTCTAGAGATACCTGAGTTCCATAGTTCTTGCGGAGTTTCCATGTCGATGGAGGCGTTTGGGGAAACATTAAGAATGAAAGATACTGACATGACAATCTCTCCCCAGAGAAAATTTGGAATGCAGGCATCTATCATTATTGACCTTGTTCTTTCCATCAGGGATCTCCCATATCTTTCAGATACAGAATTCTGCTCAGGAGTTTCTGCAGGTGCTCTCTCAAATGTGATACCCTGCTGTGATAAGTACTGGGAGAATTGGTTTGAGGTGTACTCTCCTCCTTGGTCTGATTTGAAAATAGCAACTTTCTTGTTCTGATATCTTTCAGATTCGTTTATGAAATTTACAAAATGTGTGAATACTTCTGATTTAGAGCGCATGATCTTGATACATGTATATCTAGTGGCATCATCAATAAAAGATACAATATATTTTCCACCACCTATAGAGGGAGTAGGCATAGGTCCTATGACATCACTGTGAATACAAAACAAAGGAGTGTCAGATTTAGGAAAATGAGAAGAAAATGGGAGCCGATGTGCTTTTGATAGAGAGCAAGATTCACAATCGATTTTCTTTGACGTGGATGGGGATACTTTAGATAGTGATCTGTAGTTCAAGTGACCATAACGTCGATGCCAGATGTCAGCGGGGATGGTCGCAGGGGCAGCAAAAAGAGTTTGAGATGGACTTGCCTGTGCCAAGAATAGACCATCTGCTTCTTGACCAGTGATGATGTAGTTTTCGGTCTGATTTTCGAGTATAATGGAAGATTTGTTGCTGGTGAGAGTAGCTCCATTTTTAATCATAGATGAGACTGAGATGATGTTAACTCCAGAATCGGGTATCAAGAGTACATCTTTGATTGCAATAAGTCTACATTTTCCAGACACAGTGGTTCCTTGTATGTAAGCTGTGCCAGCCAGGTTTGCTGAAACTTGTCTTTCATGTCCTCCTATGCCTGATATTTGGACATAAGGAATGGTATGGATATTTGATAATAAGTCTGCACGACTTGCGATATGCGTGTTAGCACCGCTGTCAATCAAGAAACTCGTGCTTTTGTTAGCTTTAGATGATGCATTGTAAGCAGAGTAAGTTATGAAATCGTTCGATTCTTCAACAGCTATGTGAGCAGCAGCCGAGTTTGAAGTAGAAGGATTATTTTGGTTTGAGTTTTTCATTAATGTTTTGTATTGTCGTGCCATTTCTTCCATGGATAAAGAGCCAGATTCTTTGTTTTCATGTTTCTTTTGAGTATGGCATTGCTTGTTTGTGTGTTTTGAATTTGGGTGGATATGACATAGATCTTTTGGTGATTTTCCAACTTTTCTGTTGTCAGTTCGCATAGGTCGTTTAGTCTTTACAGAGTATACTTCTTTGAATTTTTTGTCACTACTGATGTTGGAGCTAGCTTCAAGTTGAAGTCGAGCGCATACATCGCTGGTGGAAATCGTTTTGATGTTTGATAGGAAGTGTTGAATGATGAGACCAAATTCGTTTCGAGGTAAGCTGTTGACTAAGAGTATGGCGTAGATTCTGTCTGATAGTTGAAGGTCCTTATCTCCAGCAGTCATGTCACGGATTTTGCTGTGTAGGTCTTGAATTTTTGCAATGTAATTCGTAATACCGATTGAATTGTCATACTTTAAGCTGAATAGTTCTGTTAAGGTGTTTGCAGTGACAATGCCATTGTCAGAGCTGTGCTGAGATACAAGGGTTTCGAAAGCCTGCTTGGGATCTTCGATGGATTCGATGGATGATAGGTTTGCCGAATCGATGGAATTACGTATCGCGTATAAAACAGCTGCTTGTCTCATGTCAAAACAGAATTTTTCTTGTGGGTTAGATGGACGTTTGATTTCCTCTTTGATGAATTCATATAGTCCGTTCATTTTGAGATAGATCTTCAACTCAGTCTTCCATTCATAGATATTGCCCATGGCTAGTTTGGGAATGGAGGCGATGGCAGAAGTACTGAAGTTGGTATTTCCAGGGTTTGAAGTGGACATATTGTTCTCGATGAGAGGTTCGGTTGGTTTGGTATCGAGATCTTTTGACATGAAGGAAGAGATAAGTATAGAGTTGTAGTTGTAATCTATAGTGCCTTTGATGGATCAAAGGGTAGTGTTTTTAGAATGTAGTGGGCGCATCTAGAGCG